CAGGAGAAATGACGAAAGTTAAGAGTTAAGATGGATTTTTTGAATGGTCTGTTGTATAATTATTGAAAATTAAATGTTAGTATAATAGGATATTCTTCGGTTCTCATATTCTTTGATCAATTTTTTTTTTTTTTTTTTTTTTACATTCCAAATAAATAACGACAATTCGTAATATGATTGGAATTATATCTATAACTTAATTCATCGAATAAAAAAATTCTAACATTTTATACTCTTTTGTTAAAAGAATTTTTATTCATTAACTTTGTTAAATGATAATGCGCAAGCAAATAGTGAATAAAATTGTAAAAATTCTTTTCCAATAAAAATGACAAACCATTAAATAGAAAGATAAAAGGAAGAAAGAAAATATTGGTTAAATAGACTCTTAGCATATAGGCCGTTTCATAACTGTAAGTCGAGTGAAATCGTCGAACGATCGTGATAATCGCATCCCGCTGCGAAGAAAACGCATGATGCTCGTGTGGCTTTTCGATCAAAGCGAGTCATTCAGTTTAATATGAACGTATCAAGGATGGACGAACAAAACGAACTATTGTACAAGTACATATCCTCTTGTGTTTCAAACTTTCTCGAGCTCTCGATATTTTTCTCATTTTTCTCTTCTTTCTTAATACGATTTCTACATTTTTCAATTTGTTATAACATTTTTCTTTTTAATTTTCCATTTCAAATTCGAACAAACACAAATTCATTCATTTATTGTATTTAGAGATTCTAAAAATTAATATAGTGGAACAAGTGTTTGTCTAGTAACTTATTATCTGAGATTGTCAAGCCTGGTAACAAGAATTTAGCTCGAGCGTTCGAGCTATGTATATACGATCTTCGCTATCCCACTCTTCAAATTCTTTTGTACAGTGTATTATAGAATTGTCTTGTTTTTATCGTGTTTTGTTTCAAGCATTTCTTTTGTATGTACGTTGTAGTGTAGATGAAAAATCTTAGAGAAGAATGTATAATATTTTAATCAAAAACCTTTCAATCCTGAACTCCAACGATAAATAGTAAATAATAATAGGATTAAAAATTTCATCAAAGTAAGATACCTTTTATAATTTTATTCAATCTCTGACGTATTATTTTTTACTTCTCCATAACCTTTCATCGCTGAAAAATTGCTTAAATTCAAAAGAACACATATTAAAAATAATTCAACAAAAATATATAGCGATATAGTTCACCAAAAAAAAAGAAGAAATATAAATCATCGCACTGTACTTTCGTTACCTCTTATTGAAATTTTTCTTTAAAAAGGAATAGAAAAAGAAGAAACATTGAATTTTCAAACGCAAATAAAGAGAAACACGCGGAAACCGTTGTTCCGAGCATAGAGAGATGTGGAGTATGTGTCAAGTGCGTGAATCACGGTATTCGAGGCAAAACGTTATCGAGGATCGACCGTTGGCGATTGTTCCGTGGACAGGTTGTTGTTGAAGATCGCCCACGCTTCGCGATACACGCACACAGATATCCCTCTCCTCGCGTAATCCTTCACAGCCGGTTAAATGTCAGGTTAAGTGTACACGTGTGTCCGTGTAGATGGAATATTAATGAGCTACAAGGTGGTCCAAAATGTGTTGGACGACCACGGTATAGCGAAATACGAAGAGGAGCTCTCGATTACGTAGCATATTATACGCGTTTTATTTACGTTAGGGAGTTATGACGTAAGTGGGGCTACCGTGATCCACTTCTAAATAACGATTCGATTTCCTTTTTCGTTTCGACTCTGTGGGAGGATTTTGAAAAGGCAAGTATCTATATCTGTGAAAGATTATGGAAATTGTATTCGAACGATGCAATATTGAAATTTCTAATTAGATTGGAATTTTTTTTTTTTCTCTTTTTAGAATTTTTACAACCTTTAATTAAAGGATACGACGAATGTGCGAAAATTAAAACATAAATGGAGAATCGTAAAACTTTTGAATTGCATAGAAGTATAGTACAGTTTTTATTATTAGAAACTATATAAAAAAATCTCACATTTTCCTTTGGAAATAAAAGTTGTTATAGTTAATAACGAATTATTTCAATTACTTTATATCGAGCGCAAAAATATTTCCAATTTTCCAAATTGTTAGTCGTTGAATCAACAATTTTCTCTATTATAATATATCAATTCATACTACTTTCGGCATTTACTTCTCAATTTATTTTTCGAGAGGAGTAGTATTATCGAGAAATTATGCTGATTATCTTGGAACACGTCCAGACACGTACAAAATGTTTCCCCTGAAATAATATTCGTAAAAATTGTTTTTGGCAATGTATCGAAGATTTCGCGTACCATTGAAATACCGTTTCACGACTCTTCCCAACGTTCTCGCGTTTATATTATTATCTCTATAATTGGTAAACTTCCACTAATAACATTTTTTATAATAAACTCAAAATGTAATCCGCGTCGCGTAGAAAGAAACGTGCACGTCAACGGTCCCATTACTGTTATTACTGAAATTATGCAATCGTAATTACCTACAATTAAAATTGAGCGCCGATGCCGTAGAAGGATATCGCGAAGATAAGAAAGCGGCGAATAAAATTTTCATTTTAAAAATGAAAAAAAAAAGCTAACGTTATCGATGAACAATGTTAAGATAATGTTGCTCGAACAGAACTTGAAAATTAAAAATTAATCCTTCTTAAAATCTAACATAACAGAATGAAATGAGAAAATAAATTTTCTCTAGATCGCGGTTAAAAAGTATTTTTAAACGTTCGAGAAATTGGGTATAAAATCGGTGTCGTCGTTTCGCAAGTGAAATTTTCATTAACGTTAATTATTTTCATCTCTCGATTTTTAAAATACGTGTTTTTAAAAACGAAATTAATTAACAAAAACTGCGCGCAAAAACTGTTATTGCTCTTGGAAAGTAAAGAACGTGACGCGAAGAAGTCAAACGCGATTATCTCGATCGTAAATTCGGTCCATTTGCCCACGCACCGATCCTCGAATCCTAAATCTCGCCGAGATCCACTCGAGCTCGCGCGAATAAACAGCCGGTTGACATTTACGCGAGACTGCACGCGGAAATCGTATCTTAGTTACGCAATCGCCGACTGTCCTCTACGAATTCTATCCTAACCACGATAATAGAAAATCCCCTTAAATCTTAACCCCCCTACTTATATTTACAAAAATTACCAATCAAGGCAACAAAACTCCCTTAGAATCTAAATTATATCGTACACATATATTAGCCCTTTGCACTCGAAGCGTTTCGTAGCGCTTTTGGTGAATTTCTTATACCTCTAACTTACCTCTAAAATAATTACACACAAAACTTTTATATTTTAATATTTAATGTATCTTCACGAAGATAATTTCTTAAACATTAGTCTTTGTAATTTTGTATGATATTTCATGTAACGATTGCGGGACACAATATCACAATAGTATGTCATTTAACGTCTTTTGCCGGGGGCTTATTCTTTGAGAGCAGACCTTGCTTCAATCCTTCCTAACTCCTGTTAGAACGTTATACAGCTCCCCATTTAGACGAATGTTTCCGGAATCGGAGGTTGAAGTCGAAGCTCGAGCTTACGAAAATCTCCAATCTAATTGCCGAACTAAGATTTTCACGTACCGCCAGTGATTAAGCGGCTGTAGTGATTTTATAAAGTATATATGAATCCATTGACCAAATTTCCGCAAACAAAGCGGTGGGCGAGAGTGGAAAGGTTAATAAATAAGAATAATAAAATATAGAACGGCAATACACGAGTGCAAACGAATCGCATAAAAACCCATACTTCACATCCCTTTGAATTCTGTTTCAGAGCAACCCTCGAAGCCCGAGGCAGAGGAGAGGTCCTGCGTGGAGACGGAGAGCATCGAAACGGGTCTGCGCAAGATCCGCATAGGGCCGCCCAGCCCTCTTCGAGCCTCACCCTCGAGAAGCGTGGCCTCCTCCTCGGGAGACCGCACACCCCGTGCAAATTCGATCGTCCGCGAGAACAGCAACGTTTCCCGAGCCTCGTCCGGAAGCAGAACGCCGAGGGACAGCAACTCGAGCCCGGAAGGCAGCCCCCTGAAACGAGGCAGCATCAGAAACAGTTTACGCAAGCCGCCGACGGGAAGTCTGAGCAAGGCGTCGGCTATAATAGGCGCGAAAAGCTGTCAGAGCCCGGTGAGCGGTAGCAACACGTGGAACGGCAGGCAGGCAAGGCAGAGGCCCAGCATCCAATCCGACACTTTCCTCAACCCTCAACCCTCCAGTTGCGCGCCGACGACGACAACCACGACCCCCGGCTTCACGAGGAAGAGTCCTGCCAGGCAGAGCCTGCCCAGGCAGAGCTCGAACGGCGGGATGCAGTACGACAGGAACGGGAGGAGGATCAAAACCACTGGATCGCTTCAATCCTCGCCCACCAAGGTGGCCAACCCCCTGCTCGAGCAGATCCTGCAGAAGGTGGCCATTTGCAGGACGAGCGCGAGGTGGTTCAGAAGCTTCAGGATCTGTTGAGGGATTATCAGGCTCACGGTTCCGGGGACGGTGTCGCGAACATGGAGTTCACCAGGGCGTGGATCGATGGTAACGGGACCGTGGCGTTGCCCCAGGACAATCAGATGACGGCCAGCCCTAGGAAGGATCCCAAGCCGGTGTCGGAGAGGGGAGGCTTCTCCAGGATACCGGCACCCGTTTACAAGAGGCCGATGTCCGTCGCGTCCGACAGCGTGTGAAGTTTCTCTAGGGGACGGTGTAGATGATGATGAGGATGAAGCTGGTTCGAAGCGTGTCCTCGAGGTCATCGGGCTCCTCGATCAGCCAGGCCAGGACTGTGTCGCGAGAACTCGTGACGCCCTCGATTTTACAGATTTTTGCCCATCGATCCACTCGCGTGGATACGTGGAACTTGAATAAGGAGATTGAGATGCAAACGAGTTGTTTAAGTTGAGAAACGTGGGGATAAGATCGTTTGATTCTTTTTCTTAAATGTTAGGTTATTTTAGGTGGGTAACGTTTGGCTCGGAGAAACTGGTTTGAATGATACTGCAGCTAGAGAAGAGAGTTTTATGGACAAGTAGTCTCTCTTGATGGAAAATTTAATCTAAGATCGGTTGTTGTATTTTTCTCTCGAAAATACCGGGCTTTTCGAGGCATGCATCACTACATCCCGTAGTAATAGTTTTGGTGCTTGGAAGATTTCTTTTCTCTTAAAACTCTCTGATATAACAATATCACGAATATTGAAAATTTTCTCTCATCTCGAGAGGAGATAGAAATCGTCTTATTTTTTTTTTTTCGCGAATTATTTAATCGCGCGCGAAAATCGCGAAAAATTCTCAAACGTTTCTCTTCAAAAAAAAAAAAAAAGCAACGGTTCCACATTTCCGCGCGTTGCGCGATGGCAGATCGAAGGCGTCCGATTAGAGGCGAAGCTTAACGGGCCTTAACGGTACGAGGTCGATCAGTTAGCTCGTAGGAGTCACGTGTATATCGGGGTGGTGCTCGGATGGTGCTGAACGTGAGATGACGTTCGTGATGATGCAAATAAGATTATAAGATTATGAGCCAAAAAAAAAAAAAAAAAAAAAGAATAAAACAAATAAAAATAATTAACAAAAGGGAAAAAAGAAAAAAGAGGGAAAAAAACATGGAGAGAAGGACAAGGACAAAGGAAGAGGAGGAGGAGGAGGAGGACGAGATAGGTAGGTAGGGTAGGTAATAAGGTAGACGAGAGAAGAAAAATTCGTCTCGTCGACAACAATTTCGATTGATACGAACAGAGAACGGAATTCGAGCGAGCAATTAGCCGGTGTGCGTTAATGGCTTCCCGATCGATTTGCTTCCAGTCAATTGCATCCCCGGCTGACGGCTCGTCGATTCGTCCAAGACGAGAGATTACACCTTGCACTTTGGTCACAAGCGACGAGCGATCTCTCTTCTTTGTCGTGATATTTCTCTCTCTCTTTTCTTTTTTTATTGGATTCTTTTATCGTGAGATTTCGTGGAAAGCCAGGATTCTGGGAACGAATTGGTCGAAAAGAGGAAGAGTTAATGAGGAATCGTTCGAAAAGAGGTAAACTTGATAATAAGTTATGTCACGACAAAATGGAACAATCGCGACATCTTGTGATCATTTTTCTTAGCTTATCGCAAGTCGACGAGTGTGAATCTCGTCGATTCCTCGACGATTCTCCCGAGGAGAAGGAGGATCGTTGAGAGATCGTTGAAGATAGAGCTCGGTCAGAATTTCTACGTTCAATCGTTCACCACGGCCGCCGGGCCGGCGAAAAATTATTTATTTATATAGTCTATCGGTTGTATTTATTGAAGACGATTTATTTGCGCGTTGCAAGTTCGCTTGTGGGAGTACAGAATGAAACAGGAACGACGAAGAATAGAGGAAGCGAGGAAATGGAGTAAGATTCGACAAGGATTTGTTTCGCAGGAAAAATCAAATTAACCCCCCCCCCCCCCCTCTCAAGAAAAAGAACAGACTGCATTAATGTAGATAGCGACGATATTATAGTTGAACGGAACGCCATTCCAATGTTTCACTGTTTTTTATACCAAACGCGAGCGTAGCGGCATTTTGTATCAAGTGTCTTGAGGGGAAGATGGAATTCGTGCGGGACGTGTTCCAATTCTCGCGTGTGTCGGTTTCGTAGAGGATAGAAAAATGGAAGGGGGAATATTTTGCATAGAAACTGTAGATAGTGAATAAGATGCAAAATTGAGACTAACTTTAACTGTGTTGCTCAATAAAATATCGTTCGAGTGAAGGGTCGATATTTGATTCGATTCAAATGGAAGGGTCGAATTACGTAATTTAGATTACGTTCAATTTTTCAGAGAATGAACGCAGAATTGATTCAAGAGAATTTTTCGTGGACTTCTTTGATCGCTACGAGTTCTAAAATCTTAGAAAAAAAAAAAAAAAAAATTTGTAAGACTTTTAAATTTTCAATTTTGTAATATAGAATACAGAAAGAATGTACAGAAGAAACGAGTATTAGGGAGAAATTATCGATAAACTTCTATTATCCATCGAATCAAAATCGAAAATACTTAAAAATAAAGATAGTATTTCGAAAAATATTTTTGAGACGCGCGAATGAAACGCGCAACAAATTCAAGATGGAAGAGGCTGAATGTGTCGATCGAGTATTTTTTTATAATTATCTAGTGAAAAGAAATTGTGTCCATTACGGCCTAAAATCGGCCTCTCGATATTTATCGAAGTTTCGTTTCCTCTCGAAGTAGTCTTCGAACGAGTACGTCCCGCCACGGAAACCACGATACCCATTGATTACGAATTAAGAAATACACTTCCGGTAGGGAAGCAGAGAAGAAGTTTATTTTGTTGACCAGATTGTATTCGAGTAGAGATCGTAACACGAAACGAAAATAATAATACTCGAAAGAAGAAAAGAAAAGAAGAATAATGGAATTATTTTTTAGTGAAACGCGTTAGGTGCATTTTCCGGAAATTGCTGTGGTCTCTGTGATGTTCGAACGATGCGTGGATTATTTTCCTTATTTTTTTTTTCGCTATATCGAAAATAAGGGAATTGAAGTTACGTTTAAGTTTCGTACAGAATGTTTCACGTATATCGAATTATATCTTATAATTATATATGAAAAGAAGTTTTTTTTTTTTATTATATATATATATTTTCATTTTCATTTATGATATCATAAAATATGTTCTGTTAGTATGAAGCATGCTGTGTATTTTTATAGAATTTTTAACAAGAGACACATTTTATTTTATTTAAAAATTGATTTGATGAAAAGCAAAAGGTTTTTTTTTTTTTTTAAGTAATTAAGATTAACTTTTAAAATAAAATTATTTTAGAATTGAGATTATAAGATGAAGATGATTCTTGTTCCACATTTGAATAGTGTCTTATAAAAATTTTTAGTTTATCCTTTTCTTTTTTCGTTTTTTTTTTTTTTTTTTTTTTACGTTATTTATATCGAAGATACGTGTTTTATTTTAAAGTAAGCATTTTCTAAGTGTTGTGGTCAATAAGAAACGTCTTCAAAAATGAATAATAATAATTTTATCTTATTAAAATACATCTTTCTTTTTTTTACGAAAAATACAAAAAGATAAAAAAAATGTATATAAAAAATTATTCGTCCAAAAAAAAAAAAATACCAATATTCCCGTCCAAAAGTTCTCGAAGAAACATTCTCGATAAACTCAATTCGACAAAACGCTACTTTTCCTTGATCGAGGAACGTCCGAACTGTTCATCGTACAAAATGTTTAAAAAAAAAGAAGAAAATGGAGACCACAGTTAGTTTCGGAAGATATATTAAAAAAATTGCTCGTAGATTTTCAAGTCTCGAATGTGGGGGTAAAACTCTTTCGTGTTTTTTAAGCCTAAGCTTCATAACCCCAAGCAGCTGCGGTTTTACCGCGATGATGAAAATAAAAGAAGGGAAAGAAAAAAAGAAAAAAAAAAAAAAAAAAAACAATAACGATGATTACAAATATTAATATTATTGCAAGAACTACAAACTATCGCTATTATTCCGATTAAGAATAATAATTATTATTATTATTATTATCATTATTGCGATGATCATTATTATTATTATTATTATTATTATTATTACGATTATTATTATCATCATTGCGAAGATGAAGATGATGATTGATTATTATGATTATTATATGCAACGTTGAGTATGTTACGTTATATCATTTTATCTACGAGAAGTTGTAAATTGAAAATTTGCATAAAAAAAGAAAAAAAAAATAAAAAGCTTTAACGAAAAGATTCTTTCTTCAATTAGAAAGGAATCCTCGAAATCTGTGGATCATTTCGAAAATTATTTCCAAAATAACAATTATTTTTTCCAATATATATTTTAATTAAGTATTTACAAATCAAAAGGATCAAATCCAACCTAACCTAAATTCCTGGATTGAATATCGAATATCGACTAATAAATAGATTGTAAATCCAGATAAATGTAAAGTAAAACCAGAACACATTCACGACCATCATTTACCATCCTTGGAACAGTGCTTTCCTCCAATTCCAAAGGCTCTAAGCGCAGGTAAACACGCGCGTAAGGCCCATTACGAGGCCCAATACACCGCCAGTCATCGGCGTCCTTGCCGCATATGGCGAGGCAGCTCTCGTTCTCGGACACCGGCAGCCACCAACAATGGTCCACCAGGCCGTGGGCCTGCACGTGTACGTATATACGTGAGTCAGCACGCGGCTCCCTCTGTGTGTCTGGTGGGCCTGCCGGCTCTATGGACTATAATACAATACAAGAGGATCTCGGAAGGGAGCCATTTTTAAAATGTCCGGCCGCAAGCCGGGAGATTTATGACGGGCCGTGGTAGCCTCGATAATAACAGCGACGATTCCATCGTGCACGCTGAAAATAATGGGCGACGATTAGCAAACGTTTTACGAGACATTGACGGTATATTTTTCCTCGGATTCGACGATATCGGTTAAGTGATTTAAAGTATATTGGGAAAGGAGAATCTTAAGGAGTCGAGAACGTTGTATATTGGAATATAGGGAATTTTAGATTTGAGAGATCGTGATATAGGGAAATTTTAACTTTAAGATTATACAGGAAAAGTTGGGATAATTTCAATTTTAATAAACTAGCTTTGAGGACACTGGACTAAGAGATCTTGGAATATTAAAATATAAATTTATAAACAAATTTTATCAAATATAAAGAAAAATTTAAACATTGAGAAATTGGAGAATCGCAATCGATGCAATTTCGAAATAATTGAAAGTAGAATTTCCTATTTGAAAGTAAGAAACGTTCGAACCCCTAAATAATCGAATTCCAGAAGATTGTAATAATCATATGATCATCTTACAAGCGTAAAAAAAGCGATGGTGAAAACGCGTTATATCTCGTTCAATTCTTTCGTCGTTTATTACGTATTATTGCGACAACGATATAATTTAGTTCATGCCAGTTGGTTCATAGGATGCAACGACAAATTGTTTACCAGCCGTGCTCGTAATTGCCGATGCAAAGTAACCGCGTAAAAGTAATGGCGGCAATTAGAAAATCCACTTAAGTCGATCTAATGATTCTCATTTAACACGTCGAACCGATATCTATGTATGGTACGTCGTTGTTCGTTTTGCATTCGGTTTGGTATTCCGCGGGATCTCATGGAAATTGCAGCGTATGTTCTCTGTACACAAATCTTAATGCGTGTACGTATATTTTCCAGATTCCTGAGAACGATTGCATGTTTAATTTATCATCGCGCAATCACGATGATTTCTCGGTCGAATAAGTTTAAATATTAAATTAATCCGTCACTCGATGGACATCGTCGAAAATTAATCAAATTCGAAGTTAAAATCATTTTATAAAAGTTAAACCTGTTCCTCTTAACGTACTTGGATTTATATAAATTTTGTTTTGTCGAATGAAATATGCTTTGAGGTTTTGAGGCTTTTTTGAAAATTTCCTAAGAAAATTTCAAGCAACGTGCGAGCAAATATAAAGTCAAGTTTGACTAACCAAGTATAAGATTTAAAAAAAAAAAAAAAACAAGACACGTTTTAAGATGGCCGTGTGATAAATGTTTGGTAGCACGGTTTCGCAATTGAATTTACTTTCAGCGTGAGTAAAAACTCGACTACCCCCCTCCTTTTTTTCTCTCTCGTGAATTTTCATATATGAAAATCGTGGAGGCAAATTCGGCCAGTGAGGTAAGTAAGGTCGTCGACGCTCGTCGACAGCGTGGGAGGACTTTCACCTCCGCGACTGAAACGTTCGTCGTGAGATAAAAACGCGAAGCATAATGCTTGGCCATCGTTAAAATTCCGAACGTTGACAAATCGGCGCAAACGCCATCATCAAAACGTTGGAAAAGTTTCGTTTTGTTAATCAACGTCCGTATATCGTATATACCGCCCTTTGGTACGCATTTTATTTTACATTTCAACGAAAAATTATTATTATCATCGTGGAAAGATGCGCGAGAAAATGCATCTCGAATTGCAATTCGAACGAGATTTTTTATTACGAATTTGAAAGGAACTTTTTGATCAATGCTTTCTTTTTTCTCTTTCTTTCTTTTTGTTTTGTTATCGACGACAGAAGTAAAAAGTGATGTAATACGAGATGCGTGCGTGCAATGTTGACGGTAAGTGAAATTATATGTTCAATTTGTCACGCCCACGGGGTGGACGAGCACTCTGTCCACGTTGTACCGTATGCAAATTTCTTAATAATAATCTGTGCGGGGATCGCAGCTTCTTCGTTTTCCTCTCTCGGTAAACGCGTATCTCGGTCGAGGTGGTTGGCCTAATTGGTGAAATTTTCGAGGCGCGAACGTAGTCGATCAAGTTTTAATAAAACGATGATATTTAAGCGAGTCCCGAGGATTAAAGGAATTTCCTGTGTCTTCGTTATTGAAATCTTTCGATAGGAGAAAGAAGAAAGAAAAAAGAAAAAAATATCGTTAAAGGCAATTACAGTTAGGATCGTAAACAGGAGAGCTAATACACTTTCATAAAACCTGAATTTCGAATAAATTAAAACGTCAATGGTATTTTTTTCTCTCTCGCCGATATTTCTGGGAATTTAGGATATTACTGTCTTCTCGTCATCATACTTAAAAATCAATAAATCGTCATATTATTACCTTGTAATCATTCTCGAAGCAATCAATATGTCGTGTCTCGAAAATTGATACAAGGGAAAGAAGGAAGAATACGAAAGAATAACTGGTCAGATATTGTTCAAAGGAATTAACAAATCGTTATTGTATTTCTATTAAATCATGAAAAGAACGAAAAAGAAGTTCGATTCAACACGGAACCATCGAATCATTCGACAATGACTTCGCATTCAAATTTAATAATCTAACGATCTTCGTAACAATTATTTTAATATAATATCATCAATCCACGATTTTGTTTGCGTTGATAAAACGGAATTTTACAATTAAAATCTCGAGTTATAATAAAAGTTAAGAAGAAAATGAGAATTGGACGTTTCTTCGAAAATTTTTATGGAGTCACAAGGAGATAGGATATTTACGGCCACCCTTAATAACCTCGTTCCGGCCCCGCCCCCTGTTGGCCATGGTGAAGGAAAAGGCGAGCTAAAGTGGCGCAACGGATGTGATGTATCGGCCAGTTAAGGGTTAAGATGTTCACCGTTTCTCGAGTAATATCGAACGACCTCCAGCGTCTGGGATACTCGTGGGCCCTTGGCGTTCTCCTCTCGTGGGCGGTGTGCGCAGGTGCCTCTGGTTCCTTTTCACAAGTGGTCCCAACCGCGTAACAACTGCCTACGCCCTTCCACCACATTGAATCATTGCACGTTCGGCAACGATCGAGCTAACAGCCGGAGCTTTACGATCGAGCATCGTTTCTTGCTTCGCATCGAGTTTTATGTTCCTTTGTTTCGTCTGGCTCTTTGCTCTCGCGAGAGTTGCGCGAATACCTCGCGTAGGAATGCGATTTTCATTCATAGAAACAGTGGTGTGATATTAATAGGATCGGTGATAAAAATTGTGGCTCTTTCGAGGAAGAAACGAATGGTTGCGTGGGATCCGTTGGTATGTCGTTGTTGCATCCACGATTTTTCTCGCCAAATTTCTCGCTCTTGGCCAATTTTGAGCAAACGTGGAGATTTTTAAATACGAAGGAAATTGATATTTTAATTAATACGAACAAATTTTCAGAACTTACATGTCCCGTGATCGATATAATTTTACGAGTAAAAAAATGTAAAACGCGTGTGTAAACAATCGAATCGAAGGGGGAGGTGCACGATCAGCAATGCAGATGAAAGATGTTCAGATGGTCGTGACAGAGCGCAAGCGTGTACAGCTTACTAGGAGGAACTGTGCTCTGTCGTAGGTCTTCAACTCAAAGTCTTGATTCTTCGATGTAACGGACTTCCTTGCGCCGGCGAATCGAACTTTCTCGAGGAAGTAAGGGTGGCACGATTCTTCAGCCTATTATCATGTTAAGTCGATTAACAGTAAGGTCGTTGACGTCGATCTCGTCGTGGATCGAAAATATCTTTTTCTACATCGTACCTGTACTTCGAACTACCTTGGAATCAAATTACACGGAACAGTTTACAATTTGTTCGAGAGAATAAATTTTCCAAGAGAAGATCAATCTTGTATGATTAAATATTTTTTATATCGTACTACGATGCCATTCCCCTTCTAATATTTCATTTTATTCACGATTTATAAATTTATAAATTTATGTCATGTATAACTTTTTCTTAAAAGTAAAAGATTTCTCTCCACCTTTCATCTCTCTCTCTCTCTCTCTCTCCATAACTCAATGTATTAACGATCAATAACAATGACGAAGTTGTATTTTCTAACCTAAGTTCATAATTTATTCGAGAGAAGATTTTTTCGGAAGATCGATCATTTTATCAAATCATTGGGAAATTAAATATTCGTGCTCTATTATTTTTATTAAATTTCAATCGTTGAGAAAAGTACACTTACCACCAGGATACGATTCTAATTCTCCTTCGAGGAATCTATATTTCATTTTATTTACGATTTATAAATTTATAAATTTATGTCATATATTATTAAAAGAAAGTCCAGCGTAATCGTAACTTTTTCTTAAAAGTAAAAGGTTTCTCTCCACGTTTCATCTCTCTCTCTCTCTCTCTCTCTCTCTCTCTCTTTCTCTCTCTCCATAACTCAATGCATTAACGATCAATAACAATGACGAAGCTGTATTTTCTAACCTAAAACCCGATAATCCGTGCGCAGCGGAAGTGATGTCGCGTTAGAAATCACACTTGCGCCCAAACGAGATTGTAATACTTACCTCGAAACGCCAGATGTGGTACGCGCATGAGTTGAAATAGATATTGAAATTGCATGGGATATGCAAATAATCGTGGATACAGTGGTGACCAGATCGTGGCAATGATCATTGGAGGAACGGTACGTGAAAATTATTTCTCCCACGAATCGAGCCGTGGAAAATACGAATCGTGGCTGCTGCTTTTATATCATAATCATATGTTATCGGTGTTTATTGCGTGCAACGAATAGATATAATAAACTCTCCGGAATTTTTCTATTCCCTTTTTCGTCTCGTTTCTTTCTTCTTTTTCTTTTTCTTATCACCCGCGATTTCCGGGTTACGTTGATTTTGTTACGTTGAGGTTAGAAATTTTTCCCCGCGTGAAGGAGTTGAAAGATTTCAGAAATGTTAGGTTATTTCTAGGGAAATTTTAAGGTTAGAGAAAAGTGTTAATGTTTTCACGATGGAATAAAGATAAAAGGAATGTTTCGTGTTACGAGAAGTGATAATGTGTGCAAGATAATAATACATTCGTATATCATTCTGCATAAAAGGATCGGTAAATGGAGAATAACAGTTATTATTGTGAACATTATTACTGTGCTCCGCGTTAATCGCGGTTAATAAGTTCTTTTAGAGTCGATGCCAGTGTTAATCTTTCATCAACCACGACAGCTGAACGACAGACAGTTCTCATATACAGTTATTACAATTTGGTGAATTTCTAATTGTTTTCTATCACGATTTATTCATTGAAATATAACCTTTGATACGTGCAATGAACATTAAAGTTATAGAAAATTCATCTGCTTCGAAATTTAATTTTTAAATGTCGATAATCTGATTTTTTTTATATATTATTATCATTTCGAAAAAAAAAAAAATTCACTCGAAACAATTTCATAGAATTGTTGTTTCAGAAAAACAGAGGTCGTAGTTCTCCGGAGAACAGAGAGACTGTCAGGGTCGTCGATGACAGGCGGTAAAGGATGAGGCTCGTAGTAGGTTACGTGCTTTCCATATCGGTCGAAAGAACCGACAACCTTGGGGGTCCTTGCTCGAGCGAAGGCCTACGAAATTGCAAACAACCGGCGATCGCGATGCTCGACAAGCTATTTTTTTCCTTTTTTTTTTTTCTTTTTTCTCTACACTCATGAATTTACAATCGCTGAGAGGGCGACCGTGTAACTCATGAATGAAAGAACCAACAGTCGCTTTATTTCTGTCAAAGAGCCGTGTATTTACTTACTGATCGCGGCTAATCGCCTCTTTGTTGGTCACATTTTGAATAGAAAAGGAATAAACGAGGTCTCTTTCTTAAGGATTCTTTCAGATTTCATTAGAATTGAAAATAAGATTAATTAACAAAGATATAGGTTTCATCGAAAAAATTCGACTCGATTCGATTGAATCATTCGATGATGAATTTAAGCCTTTAAATGCTTAAATAATTATAGAAAAACAGGGTCAGAGAATAATTTTCAAAGGCATCCAGCGTGACTAAATAGGATACATGTGCAGAGAAATAGAAGATACACGTTTGTAATGCGTTAATAAAGCACACTGACTTCCGTGGTCGCGAGGTCACGACCTTCCAATTAAAACGTTGACCCGAGCTATCCGGTGGCGAAAACGCCGTCGACGAGGGAAGCTGCGAATGGTCTGAGCGCGGTTTCGTGGAAAGTGTCAGCATCGTGGTTTCAGCCGCGATGCTAATGAGAAGTTAATGGCGCGACTCCGTCTGAACGGAGAGAAGTGGCGTTAGTTCTTCAGACTCGCAACGACAACAAGCCGCTAAAGAGAGCCTTCGAGGACGTTGAGAAAATCATCAATTCGTGGGCAAAAAAAAACGAGACTGAACGCGGCCATTTTAAAATTAAAAAATTTAAAAGTTTATTTATAATTTTTTCGTGTTTAATTTCTCGACAATTGCAAGATGTTTTTCTTTTTTCAAAGATAAAAATTCTTCATCGCTTTGCATTACTTCGTAAAGGATAAAATGCAGAGACAATTGTAGAATTTTAAGGATGACGTTTTAACGATTCGTTTTAAAAACGTATGATGATGATCGGTAAATATAAATCAGAAGAGGAATTCAGAGATAAATAATATTGATAAAAGTTTAAGGGAGAAGATGATTTTAATTGTACGCGATAAGTTGTAATTAAAAAATGTAATGGGGATGGATGATTAATAATAATGGCGGTTGCACGTCGACACATGCCCCGTAATGAACCTTTGCGCAGTTTATTGATGATGCGGTAAATTGCAACGTCTCGAAAGAAGGTTTGAGGCGTCACGCAACAAGGTTACGGAGCGAATGAAAAATGGAATTAAAAGAAAGGGGCGAGGTTCGTTGTTCCCTTTCCGCCCGGGATCGCACGGTTGATTTACACGTTCGCCTTCGAGCTCGTAATTCACTTAGGCTCGTTTCAATTTATTTTCAATTTGCACAACCGTGTTTCAATATTCGCCTACTAATATAGACACAACTATGTTGCTTGTGAAATATCAAACGGACCTAATCTGATCGATACACTAATCACATTTCCACAGACAAATGTCCAAACACTACAAATTAACAAATTCTAATTTTATCCAAGTTTAAATTCTATTTTAAAAACTGCTTCGACGTTTGCTTCGATAAGCAAAGTTGAAAGATATCCAAAAAAGATTTCGATCAAATTCTTCTCGTAATTTAAATAAATAATTAAAGAAACATAAAAAACGAAATATAATTTTAATATGATATAACAATATTTCCAAAAACATAAAAACGGTTGTATCGATAAAACCTAACCTAACCAACTCGAACGCGTATTCGAATGAAATTCATCGTGGCACGAATATCTTCGCGACCAGTTGCCTGAAAATGATTAATACACCCGGCCCCACGTGTACCACGCATTTCGACGATGGCGTGGAGGTAGCGAACGAGATTTCAATGAATATCGTTGGCGTAAGTTCGTGCAATTAGAATTGACAGACGGAACAATGGCGCGGGGATCGCGGCGGCACCCGTGTGTACGCGCACGCGCACACCTTCAGACGAGGAACCGCTAACAAACATGTTGCCGGCCCACACGGCGAACGGAATTTTTAGGCAACGATTTTCTAAGCGTATCGTAATCTGGTCACCGGGGCCGGATGTCGACATCGAAGACCCAGTTTTCTTACCAGACTTCGGTGTGCTAATAACAGGTTCCTCGTAGGAGATCGTAGGAAGCTGATTCGTGCGATTTTTTCCATAGAGAGAGAGAGAGAGAGAGAGAGGAGGAGATACGAGACGAGGTACGGTAACGGTTAGGTT